TCTAGCAGCATCCATGGTCTGCCATGTTGCAAGACCAGAGAGCCTCAGCCACAGGTTGAGAGCAGCTGGGAACAGAGCCCACAGGCCAGTGATCAGGGAACAGGGAGCCCTGGGAGCAGCTGCTGTCCTGGAGCCGAACAGCTAGAGTCAGGGAGCTCTGGGAGTGGCTGCCACCCCAGATGGGGCTGGATGGCCAGAGGCAGGGCGACCTGGGAGCAGCTGTCTCCTCACACGAGGCTAGGGGTAGGGAGCCCCAGTAGTGGCTGCCGCACTGCATGGGGCCAGGCGGCCACGAGCAGAGCCCTGCAAGTGGGCTGGGGGCAGCAGAGCCAGGCAGAAGGGCTGGGGGAGAATAGGCCTCTGGGTTCTCCCGGGGCAGCAGCCAGGAGGGGAGCCCTGGGAGAACCCAGAGTCCTGACCTTGCTTGGTTCAACAAACTCGCTTGTATGGGACTACTCAGATCCTATGAGTTACAGATGAGGGAGGTCCAACCTGAAGCTGCATCTTCACTGACAATATTTAACCATAGTTGGTGTATCAGGAAAAGTCTAAAGATAATTTATTACCAGGGCAAGAGGATTTGTTGCTCAAAGAACCTTGTGTTAACCAAGAACCAAACTTCCTATTCAAGAGTGGATGTCCTAATATATTTTAATCCCGTAGTCTAATCCTTTTATTCAAAAGTATCCAAGTCCATGGTGTCTCCAACATCCTTGCACTGGAGTTATCTAGAGAGCTTTACAACCTTTATATCATCTGAGTGTCTCACCACAGGGCCCCTTGACTTTCATGGCATCCATCCTACATGTGAATAGAAAGAGGCAAAGACCACAGGGTTCACAGGAACTAGCATGGCCCTTACTAGCATTAGTTTGGAAGAGAATAAAATGTTCATGGGGAATGTTTAGATTTTTCTTTTTCTTTTTTTTAAAGTTGCTAACTACATCAGTCATTTGACACAGTAAAAAATAATCGGATGGATTTTATTGTTTACAACTCATTGGTATATGTTTCAGTCACTGTTTGCTATTTATTTTCAACAGACTAATTGCAAAAGTAATCCATCTCACAGTTGGTTTATATGTCTATTCAAGAAGCTATAAACACCACAAAGTAATTATACCGTTATAAATGTGACTCAGAATGACTATATAAATTATCCATAGTGAATTCAATTAATAATGTTTACATGATTTTTTTAGTATTCTAATGTATCTACAATACTTTATAGAGAAGATTATTAGATCAAAGATATTTTGTTTATTTTCACTAAGCTGGTCCTGATCACATTTTGAAAATGAGTTTTTCTTTTATATGGGTCCTGCAATTCAAAACTGACATTAAAGCCAGGTGTCTCTACTTATTGTTTCACTGTTGTTGCTTCTGCTAAAGTGGGCATCTTCTGTGGCAGGAGACACAGGATATCTGCTATATCAAGGGAAATTATTTTACTAAATGTGGTGTATTACAGAAGTACAGGATCAGGCCCAAGATCAGATAAGAGGAAATGCAGTTGTCATTTTTGAAAATAAAAAGTGAGTTAAGCCCAGAAATATGTACAAAATGCCCTTATTAACACAGTGAGAAGCACTGAGCAGATAAATAAGTTTTACTGTACCTTGTTTATGGTATTTTGTTCTCTCAGTACTATCTTAGGTAAATAATTAGTTTGTAAAGCTCTTTGACGAGGGTAAATAATATTTGTATTTGCTAAACAAGTGAACAGGTTAAGGTAATATATGTATTGGCATCCAGGTGGGGAGGGAAACAACACCATATGGATAGCACTCCTGCTTTCTGTACCCAGGTACAAAAAGAGTTCACAACCACCACTCATAGAAAAAACAGAGGAAACAGTTTTGTCTAAACACACTGGGAGGCACTTTGTTTTAGATTTAGGGTAGGAGACACTGTCCCGTGCAAAACACTGTCTTCAGTGTTTGTGGTCTGAGCCAAATAGATTTGGAAAAGAGGAGAAATATGTGGCTGTATCTGTTCAAGTGTTGACTGCTAGTAACTTTGATCACACAATTTACAATATTTGTAAATCATAACATAGTTTATATTAATTTTAAAATGCCCTTTTCTCTGGTTTGTTTAACATTTTGTAAATCACAGTCAAGCCGTAAGTAACTTCTTACCATGTGTCTCAGAATTATGCCTATTCAGCAGTGAGCAGTAACTGGCTCAACATGAGCTGTTCCTTATATAAACATACAAAAGGCTTGACCTAGACTACATCAATTTAAAAAAGAAAAACATTACAGCTACGTTTCCTGTTCCATGCTTAAGGTCTTCTTTGAATCCTTATGATCTTACCATACTATTGACTGTGATAGGCTTTAGTTT